TTATTATTTGTCTCGGGCTTCTTATCTATTTCTTCTCTTCGTAAGTTTCCACTCCAAATGTATTTTTTTTTCTCAAAAGTTGTAAGGCTTGATTATTCATATGTTATTATTGTGTCCTTTATTTTAAGTTGTATGGTTTTGTTTTAAAGGAAGACGTTAGTTTGTTTATTTTGCAATATTTTGGTTGCATCAATTTGGTATCAGAGCTTTAGGTTGTGAGTCTTCCTTTCTTTAAAACAAAAAGAGAAAAAAGTCAAAACAATCAATAATATAAGGTTCACTTTAAAAGAAAGTTTCGTCATCAGAAATAATGCATTTGGAACATCAAGGAAGCACTGTTATTCAACCTAAGTTTGCAACGTCATCATCCTTATTTTCCAACCAAGGCATTCTCATCAGGAGATGAGATCTCTCAACCGGAGGAGAATTGATGTAAGCAAGCCGTACCCCCCCTGCTTTGGGCAGTTCGGTTCCTGCTCCCTGCTATCCTGGCTCACCTTGCTTTGGGTTGTTCGGTTCCTGCTCCCTACTTGGCTGTTCAGTTCCTCTTCCTGGGTCCCTCAGTTCTTGTTTCTGTCCCGGTTCCTGGTTGTAGTGGTTCGGTTTCTGGGAGCCTTAAATGCTACATTTTTTCTCTCCTTTTGGTTGGTTGTATGGGCGATTGAACATGGCTGTTGGCCTCCCTTTTTTATCCAATTTATAGAGAAGTTTTAGGCTGTTTTAGGAGAGTATGTTATGATTTTTGGAATGTAAAACCTGCGGATTTTGTTCTAGCTTGCGAGGTAGTCTCCTTCCCCTCCCCTCTCTTATAATTCGTCTCGGGCTTCTTATCTATTTCTTTTCTCCGCAAGTTTTCACTCCAAATGTATCTTTCTTCTCAAAAGTTGTAAGGCTTGATTAGTCATATTGTATTGTTGTGTTCTTTATTTTAAGTTGTATGGTTTTGTTTTAAAGGAAAATGTTAGTTTGTCTATTTTGCAATATTTTGGTTGCATCATCTGTTAAGAATCTTGAATCTATGATTAAAGTGTGTGCCTTGTCTGGTTTGAATTCTTTTGTTTGATTAAGGTTTTTGTTAGGTTATATGGTAATCCTTTGATTGTTGTTGGTTTAACTTGTATCCCTGCATTGTATGAGTTCTCTCATATAACTAATTGTTGGCGTGAATTGTCTTATTCAATTAATTTTATCATCATTCTTATCTTAATGGAATTGTGGTCCAAATTTGAATTATTTAAACATTCCTTCCAATTGTACATTATTCTTTATCATTTAACATAAAATTTTGGCATTATATACTTATTAAAATTTGCCTTATAAAATTTGCCTTATAGTCAAAGTTAGTGCTATTCAAATGGTTCACAATGATGGTACTATTTTTAAAATTATGGTACATGGTTATTCTTACAAAATTTTCAAATTAATTTTTGAGCACTTCTTTTTTACAAATGTTGATGTGAACATATGCATGAATTGAGGGTTGTTAAAATTGGATTTGACATAGAACCTGAAGAATGAGAGGTTCAAGATTCAGTGGTTTTACTTGAGTTAAATTGAGGATTGAACTGGATGTCATAATAAATATTAAAAATATTTAAATAAGATCTAAATTTATAATAATGATATAATAATTACGCAATAATATAAATTTTTTAACTAAAATAAGTATCACTCATACACATAATATATTCTATAATTTTAAATTAAATATCTTCAATATTTAAATTGATTCACATCAACTTATAAATTTACTTTAAATTATTGCTAATATATGATATATATTTTCATATAATTTACATTTATAGATTATATGCCAAATTCAAAATTATAAAAAATGCATCTATAAATCATTAATTTTTAAAAAATTTATTGAAATTAATAAATGTGACATAAATAATAGATTTTATTATGTATAATTGAATTTAAAATATTAATTTCACATTGATTAGGAGATTTAATTAAAAAAATATATTCATTGAAAAAAATTAACTATATGTAGTATGGTGTTGTGACTTTGGAACACTTCATTTTAATCTTACAATTTATGTCCCACTCACTTGGGAAATTCCTCTGTAGTATTGTTTTTTATAGCATTTTTGTATTTTCATTTTTTAGAACTCATATGGAATAGTGGACCCTAGATGTGAATTGTTTGGTGTGGTTTTTTCTTTGGCTAATAGTGCTTTTATAATTGAATATTTATTATTTTTTAAATTTAGATTTATTTGTAATTTTAATATTATTATATTAAATTTATGAATTATTTATTTAATATTTAAATGATGTGCAATTCAATTGGTCGGTTCAAAGAAATCGAGACCGGTTCAGTAGTTTTCCTGTCGAATCGTCGATTTTTGATTAGTTCTTTTCTAGTTTGATGCTGAGCCGAGCTTTAAGATGGATCGAAGCTAGTCTATGATTGGTCTATCGGTTTAAAATAAGTCATAACGTATTGTTTGGCTCTGGTTTTCAAAACATGCATTAAGGGCACTTATTTTGTTATGTGATTTTTTTTAATTGAATGCTGTACTTTTATGTTGAGGATATGTTGTAGTTTATCCAATTAAATTACTTACTTGTATGACTATATGTCTATTTATATTATATAGATATATGCATGTATGATAGATATTTGAGTCTATTTAAATTTTACTTGAATTTGTGTTTTTGTTTGTTTCTTTGTTAATGAATATATTTAATTCCTAATATCCACTAGTCTTTGTCTCACTTTTTTCAATGATTATTTTCCCCTTTCTATAACATATCTTTTATGTTGTTTCTATGTGGTATTTATGTTTTATCGCTATATAATACATGAAACTGCACATAACATGTTTAAAATATATTTATTCTTACAATCCTAAGGATTCTCACGTAGTGGGATAAAGGCTTGATGTTGTTGTTGTAATTCTAAGGATTATTTGGATGGTGTTTATTATAACTTAAATTTAAAAATTGATTAAATTTGGTCTATTATGCGGTTATGCCTAACTAGACTAATTCGCTTTGATTAAATGAAACAAGTTGGCCAGGTTTGAGGGTTGGAATGGTTTGGTACTGCCTTGAACTTCATTTGACTTTTGCATCTAGTGCGAGGTTTATTAATCAACCGTTGAGTCAATTCATCCATGATCTTGTTGTGCATGAAATTTCACTGTCTCGATGCCTATGCTTGTAGACCAACTTGTACGTTAGAAGGTTTGGTACCAATTGGGCTGCTAGCTCCTAGCCGGTCAACATCTAAAATGCAATTGGCTATTTGTGGTCACTTTATATTTTTTGTTGTTTATTCTTTAGTTTATTTTCAAAGGTAAAGTGAAAACACCTTTGTTTTTCCTATTTATTTTTTAAAAGGTTTGATTTTGCAATTTGTTTTTAATTTATTCCTATTTATTATTTCCATGAGAAAGAGGCGGCTCATTTGATTCAGTGAGATGGGGATGACTGGTAGAAAAAACTAATAATGACTTTGGAGATGTCTTAGGCAATCTGGAGCCTGTTTTGATATCATCTTCTTGATCGTATCCCTACCTAGTCTCTTCCTCCTCGCCCACCCATCCTTCCCCTTTGCTTTATGAGTGCAGGATCTTTCTCCCCAACTCCTCATCCGCCTATTTCTTCCTTGATGATGCTCTCTAGATCCATTTTTTGCAACCTGATTTTCGCAACCCACATGACTTTCCACCATCACCTCACCTGAAAAATTGCAATCGTAGGTGTCGTCTTTCTTCTACAAGTCAAGATCTCCGATTCTCTCACTTAGAAGCCCATTTCCATTTAAACTTTTAAGGAGCCCTTGCTTGTAGCATTCAAAGCAAGGATCTTATGGGAGGATGGATTGGGATTTGTGTTTGAAAAAGCATGTTTTGAAAAATATCCAAAACATCGAAAAGTGTGTTTTGAGAGTTTTTGAAAACAGCCTATTTTGTTTTAAAAAATAAAAATAAAAAGACACTGATCACATGCTTACCAAACATACTTTAACCAGAATTTTATAGAAAGAATGTAAAAAATAAAAATAGAAGTGATGTGAAATTGGGCCTAAGAGAAGACATACATACAAAGCAATAATAAGGAAACATAATTAATTTCATAGAAATTGCGGAAAGGCCACAAGTAAGGAATTATATAATTTTTACATATTATGCTTCACTGCCAATGAGACATAATTCGAAAAATAGATGCTAAGGACTGCCTGACAAGATGCGGAAAGTCCGACTTGTTTCTCCAATTGTCTTGCCCACATTAGGTCCTTCACATTAGAGATAAAACAATAAGAAATTAATTATAAACTCAATGGAAAATATTCAACACATAATTGAAAACCCACAAGAAGCTACACCATGAATAGAATGGTAAACAACAAACAATGAATATGCAAGGATTGCTGAGAAGTCATGTGGCTAACACCCTAAACTAGTATGATAACACCAATTCTAGTTGGCTAATCCCAAGTGTTTTTGACCAACACCATGGCTGTGTCGACCAAAATTATGGCTTGTTAGCCAGCATCAATGCTTGATTGGTTGTCATCAATTGAGTCTGCCAAAACCCCAATATGAGTCAGCATGGTTCTAGTTGGTTGGCCTTCCAAGATGGTCACCTTAAGTCTAATCGGCTTTATAGATATGTGCGAATGGCTGGCCCAATTAAGTCTAATGCAAGAAAAAGTTCAAGGGTTGAAATTTTGGGTTGTTACATTTATGCTGGTGTGCTTGAAACCAACATTAGTTCTTGCAATTTATCATACTTTGAAACTTCATTATAGCATCACTGTTTGCTGATGTTTTGATCGAAATTGTTTTTATGTTATAAACTTTATCTATGGTAATGGTTACAATAGTTTATTTTGCTGGTCAGCATCACCATTATGCCTTATTTACTAGCGCCTTCCAATTCACATAAGAATGTGTACCTGTTCTCTCAACTGCTTCTCCTATTTAATGATATTCCCCTGATGTGCCTATTATTAATGTCTATTTATCTTACATCTTATGCAGACTCTTTTAGGTTTTGTGAATTTCAAGCTTTATCATTCAATAAATGTTAAATATCCTCCTATTCTCGATCCTCGCCTCGAAGCTTTGGCAGATGGTACCAATTCCTTCCCTTTGTTTGGTTTCATATGGAATTTTTTATCAGTCTGTTTGCGTGACACATCAGAAAGACTCCTGTCAACTGTTTTCCTTGATTTTGAGTGATGATTTATATCCACCTTTCGGAAAGTAGGTGATATTAATTGTATCATATTTGTAGAGCTTTATGCCTTGTGCCGGTATATTGCTACTGGTTCGAGAACATTATCCGGAAATTCCCAATCTGGCATATCATCAGAGTCGGAGCAAACCGGTAACAAGAAGATGAATTCAGAAAGTGAAGAGTCAGAAGTTAGATTAGCCCAGCTTCAGCATCAATTACCAGCAAATGAACGTGGGGCTTTGATGAATATGATGGAGGATGTAAATGGCGCTGATGAGGAGGACCAAGATACAAAGGAGTGCAAGTCCCTTTTCAAAGATTTTAAATTCTTCTTAAGCCGAGAGGTTAGTTTAGTTCCATCACCTCTGCTCTATAACTGACGCTGAATATATTATGATTTGTGCTTTTGTAATTATTGTTCAAAACTCTATTTTTTTAATTATTTTGTTAAAGAACAATTTTCCTTTCCTGTGCATTAACAAAATTGATTAATAGCTATTCTTGATACTTTTAGGTTCCCAGAGAGTCGTTGCTTTTCATAATTCCTGCATTTGGAGGTTTGGTTTCATGGGAGGGTGATGGTGCTCCTTTTAAGGAAACAGATGAGGACGTCACACATCAGGTTTTTTTTCAGTTTTATTTTTGTTTTGCCTTATATGTTAAGGGTTTAGCCGAAAAATGCTCAAATCATTTGTATATGCTCTATTTCAGCTCATAGTTTCTGTAAATTATCCTTTAGTTGATACCCATGAAAAATAATTTAGGAAAAAAGTTATAAAATTTTGTAATTTTACAATGAGCCTATCGTATACTCAACATTCTTTTATTTATTTCACTTGTGATCACTCAGATTGTTGATAGACCATCTCTTGGTCGTAAGTTTCTTTCTAGAGAATATGTTCAACCACAATGGATCTTTGATTGCATAAATGCCCGAATAATACTGCCCACCGAGCAATATTTATTGGGAAGGTATGTTATCATAATTCTTTTGCAATTATTTTTTGCTCTTCTGATTGCGATACACGATAGTGCTGTTTGTACCTTTGTTCAACCTGATATAAACAAGATGAATGTCCCAGTTATGTGGGGATGAGTATTTGATGAAATTTCTTTAGTATGTTAATTAATTTTATCAATCTAATACTTGGAAATACTAATGTTAAAATTCATTCCAGCACATTTGCAAACTACTCAATTTCTTTTTTCCCTTCAAAAAATAATGAAGCTTATTTCATGTTCATAATAAAGATTATATGTTTATAAAATATGCACACTAATGTTTTTGTGGTATTGTTTATTAAATGTTTAATTGAGTTTAGAATATGTATTTTTGATAGTTCAATTATTTATTTAAAAATAAATATTTATTATTGTAAATTTGAAATAGGTTGTGTATAATAGTTTATGTGCATTTGCATCTAAGAATTGGATAATGTAATTTCTAATGTTATTGTTTGAGGAAATGTACTTTTACAATTAAGAACTTAAACATTAGTTTATGCTAATATATTTATTCTTGACCTTTTGCTTTTTACATATATGATATTGCTTATTTATATTAATATTAATGCGTTCGATTCATTTGCAAAATTTAAAAGGTAGATGGCTTGATCTGGATAGTAATAAATCAATTCATTTGGTTGATTTTAACTGTGGCAAAGATAGGACCGAATTCATAGAAGTTTGGTCCATATCTTGTTATTAAATGTGGGGCAACTCATTTTGAGGGCCTCAGGGCCAACAACTTACCCATAATGTGTGAACCCAATCTTACTCATCTTTTTTGAAGCCAAACTCAACTTGCTCAAGGTATGCATCTCATATAAGATTTATACACCATCAAGGTTTAAAATTATACAATTGGATATTGAGTCATTTTTTTCATGAGAGATGTAAGCCTTAAGACACTTTGAGGGTCTCAAAATAAAACTATTGAAAAGTAAACAAAATATAAAAAGCAAAGGACTGAAGCATTTAAGCATAATTATTTTGAATTATTATGTAACATCATATAAAGTTATACAAGTACTCAATAATAAGCAAGAAGTAAATAAATAAACCTAAATAATTCAATAAACATAAAGAATATGCTTAACATAAACTAATTATGATATAGACTCCAAATTCAAAAGTTATTTTCACTCGTACCACTTAAGAGGATCTTCATCAATGTCAACATCATAGTTGATTGCTTTTTGCCTCTCTCATTCTCACTTATATCAAGGTACTCCTAATTTTTATAATTTTTAAATTCATTGAACTTCCTTGTATCCGATAAAAAAATCCAATATGAATATTATTTTAAACAAGGACCATATTGACATTTGATGATTTATAATACATAAAATTTTATATTTACATTTTCTCACCTTTTTTTTTCAACTTTTGTTGTTCTTGTTTCTTAATAGAAAAAAAAATCAACATTGTGATATTGCTTTTGGAATTGTGATGTTGAAACTCCATTTTCGACCTCCATAAATTATTCATCATTTGATGGCACATCATTAATAAATAAGAAATCTTCATCTTCCTCTAAAATTTTCTTCCTCTTGGTTATGCATTGTGTAATCCAATGAGTTTATCCTTAAGGTAGTCAGGTGAAATTTTTCTCTTGGTATGAACTTGGTTATAAGTACTCTAATTTTTCTCACATCTTGATGACGAGCATGTAAGATTGAACGCTTAGTTTGCAAATCACGTGCCTTCCCTTAGTAAACACATTTAAAAACGCTTGAAGGCACATAATAACTTATTGTGCAATTTATACATTTTTTTCTATCATTTTTACCTATATTTGAAATTTAAGCATGCTATATGCAATGAGCATGAGCATCATTTGATAGATATACGGATATGAGTATGTCCTTAAAATTTCGCAAACAAGTTACATCATGACACAAAGGTTAAAAACATTCAAATTAGATTGCCTCTGAATTTAAAAGAGATTTATATGCTCGAATGGGTAACTAGAAAATTGAAAAAGTTCTGGATTGAAACAAGAAGTAATAGGGATAAGAGGTAGAAGTATGAATAAAGAAATAAAAGAAATAGTGTCATGGCGTGATTCTTTATGGTAAGCGCTTACCGGAAAAAGAAGGCCCATTCTTGGATATTTTCACCAGACGTTGGAGGAGCTGGGCTTATTTACCCAGTTTTTCTGTAGATGAACAAAATTATGCCCATGATTCAGTCTATAGTATCGTCCCTTTAGTGGTATATATGATGAAATTTTAGAACTGAGGGAGAACTAAATTACTTACTGCTTATTCAAATATAAGATGATCTGGGAATTAAGTATAGAGGATCAGAGAACTAGCACCTCACCAATATAGATTCCCTACTCGTTTGCTTATTGGAAATAGTAAACATGCGACGCTATGAAATCCTATTTAGTCACAAATGCATCATACTAAAATAAGAAGATTGCAATACATAATTTCTCAGATAGTGAAACCCGATTTGAGCTTTGTTGAAATGGAGGAAGAGCAGACAATTGATGCATTCAGTTTTTTTTGGTTTATTTATGTTTTATTATATTTTTGAACAATATTAGTTGTGTTTTATTTTTATTATGCTATCCTATGATGGTTGGGCTTCCAATGATCATGGTAGGAAGGTGCTTGGCATGGCGAACCTTGGGTTTGCTTGCTCTTGGGTCCACTTCGTCCTTGGGCTGCTTGCTGATTTTGGTTTGGTGTGGTGGTTGCTCTCGGGTATGGCCTTGGTTGCTTGGTATGGGGCTAAAAAATTGTGGGATTCTACTTGGTGTTAGCTCATAAATGCTTGAGCTGAAGTTTAGCTCAATGATTGGAGATTAATTGCACTTCCTAGCTCATTAATTCAAAAAGGTATGATAATATTTCTTGGATTCATTTTGGAGTGGACTTGCCTCTTCTCCTCCCCTATGTCTTCTCGGTTTTCTGTGCTGGTTGGTTTTCTTGTGCCTGGCCCCTTTGTTTCCTGTGCTAGCTGGTTTTCTTGTGCCTGGCCCCTTTGTTTCCTGTGCTGGCTGGAGTTCCCGTGCCCTGGTGCTTGGCCTCCTGTGCTGGTTTTTCGGGTCTCCTGCTGGCTGTTTTCCCGTGGCATTTTGGGGGGAATTTTCGTGGTTTTCACCTTGTTTTCTGTGCAGTTTTTTACTGCAATCTTTGCTGTCTTTTAACATTTTACTTGGTGACTTTTGGCCGTTCATTTCCCCAATTCCTATTCGCTTTGGTTGGAGGTGATATGGCTACTTGTCTACCTTCTTTTGCCTATAAAAGAGAGTTGTTTTGGCATGAAAAAGGTTGTTGATGATTGTGAGTAAAAACTCTACAAAAACCTGAGGGTTTCTTCTTGGAAAAGCTTGAGAGCTTGTTCCATCTCCTTCTTCTCTTCTCTATTTCGTCTTGGCTTCTAACCCCTTATTCTCTACGCAAGTTCCACTCCACTTGTATCCTTCTTCTTGAGCTTTGGAAGTGTATGTTGGCTGAAGTTTGGATTCATTTGTCGGAGGAGTTTAGAAAGGATGTTGGACTATTTTGCAGTGGTGGACCCTTGGTTTGCAAGCCTAAGCACAATTTTCTTAAAATTCCTACTTTCGTTGCATGTGAGGAGACCGCTAGACAGTTTTACTGAGCATAGCGTTTTTATATTTTTATTTTGTTTTCTTCGATTTGATTTTTGTTTCTCTTAAGTTTGTTTGGATGTTTGCAAGCTTTATATGAATCGAGTTTGGTTTAAGTCTTGTCTTGGTGTTCTCCAATTTGTCACTCTTTTCTAGTTTTGCTTGCATCAACAATCCTCACTCCCACTCAAGCTTGATCATAGATATCAATCATTCCTAGCATGAAATCAATTTTTTGATGTTTGCACATTGAAGATGCTTGGTAAGAGTGTTTTAGTTTGAAGACTCGTAGGAGCGCACACAAATTTTATGATTCAATTTGCAAGCTTTTTGTTATTAAAGTGCCGATTTATCTCCACATATTTAGTTCCGTCATATTGAAATGGGTTCTTTGCAATATTGATAGCAACTTACTTGCCCCTGAATAATTTTATAAATTCTTTTGTTTGGATTTTCAACTCTCTGAGTAACGTTATTAACAATATTCCTTCACATGCACCATGAGATACAATACCTTGTGGCTGATCTTTTGGCTGTTATGGAGCTTGCCCAATCAATGTCATAAAACACTTCCATGTCTATCATTGAAGTTTTCTTGAGGTAAGTCAATTTCTTAGGATTCATTTTTAAATATTGTAGGATTTGACGGACAACATTTAAGTGTCCCTAGGTTGAATGGTTCATAAACCTACTTACCATACTTATGGAAAAACCAATTTTTGACCATGTGTGATAGAGAATTGAGTGTGCCAATATGTCTTTGATATCTCCCCTAATTAAAATCTGGGCTTCCTTCTTCCATACCTACTTGTTTGAATCCATTGAACTGAGTGGTTTAAATCCAAGCATCCTCATTTCCTTCAAAATCTTGCACATGTTTTCTTTGGCAAACAAATATCCTTTTTCTTGATCAAGCTTCTTTGCAATGAAAATATTTGAGATCACCCAAATATTTAATTTAAAACTCTTTGGCAGTTAGATTCTTGAAGTTATTCATTTATTCCTTATAGGCTCCTATAAAGAATGATATCATTTGCATAAGTATTGAGAACGTCTAGCTTCCTTTTGGAAAAATGTTGACATAGAATGTTCAGTTCGATACTGAGAGAACTCATTCTTCTTTACTGCTATTGTAAATTTGTCATTTTAGATTTAAATGAGAATTTGACTCTTAAAAGGAAACAATGGAGAAAAAAGATTCCTATAGCCGACCCCACAGTGTCATAAAGGCTTGGTGTTGTTGTATGCACGAGAAGATTGCCCGAGGTCGTAGTTTGCACACTTTATTTATGCAGTCTTCATTTTTAAAATCAACAGGGATGTTCATGTAAGCTTCTTCCAAGACACCTTTGAGAAATGCATATTGATATCAAGTTAATGAAGTGGCCAGTCTAAATTTGTAGATAAATACTACAAGATCCGATTACAATTGAGTTTGGTGATTGGAGTAATGTTTCTACTTAATCCCATAATCATTTTGAAGCTAGTTAGGCTTTGAATCTGTCTACAGTTTCTTAACATTAGGTTTGACTAAAAAATTACTTAGAACCAACAAAATATTGTCATTTGGGTAAATTGGAGACTCTCAAGTTTTGTTTTCTTTCATAGTTATAATTTCTTCTAAAATTGCATCATTCTTGGATGTTGCTAGGAATTGCATCTGTTAGGCTTGTGGTAAAAACCCAAAAAATTTACGACAAACCTTTATTTGAAACCAACTATATATTGGGTGCTAAGTAGTTCGCGTTCTTGATGTGGTGTTGGTATTTTCCTCTCCAAGCTAATATCATCAAGTAATATGACTCTCTACATGAATAGAAGATTTGGGCGAGCCGGGTTTATTTCCATAGAATGTTACATCTATTAAGATGCGAAGTTTTCTCTTTAGTAGATAATATCCAAGGACTATGTTTGAGTGAGTTCTAATTTGCTTCTATGTTGTTGATTTCTGTGGACAAAGGTAACACACCCAACTATTTTGATAGGATTATTGAACAATCTAGAAGTGATTGTATGAGGCATGGATCTTTTGAAATCATATATTGATTTTTAAGACATGAGTAGGCATCATAAGGGATTTAATAATTCCATCATGTCATTTTTTTAGGCCATATCATTTTGTTGAGGAATATTAACATGAGAGCTCTTATGTACACTATCCATTGGTTCAAGAAATAATCTAATGGAATCAGTGGTCATACTCCCCTCCATTTTTATTTCAAGGATTACAAATTGAAATGGAATTTGGCTAAAATCATGTTTTTAACAATTTGAAAGATTTGGCTTACTATTCTTCTCTCATAAGTAACATCCATTTAACCTTGTTGTGATTACCAATAAAATTGACACCATCTATAATGTATGATATTATTGTTTGTTGATGGACTCAAAATATCATTGTGTACTTGTAGCAAATTTAGACAGTTGACATATTTTACACTAGAAAGTTTTCGAATTATTATTGAGTGATGATGAAAAATTTTTACCAAGGCATATGAAGTTTGGATGCAGGATGCCCCAATCAATGGTGGCGGGATATGAAAATATTATGTTTATTGTTGCTGGTGGATAGAGCAACACAACTATTCTTCTTTGATTGTCCTTTTGAGACACAAGGTAATAGAGGCATAAACACTTTTAGCAATGGCAATCATATTCTTTGAATAAAGTCTGAAAATGACATGTATTTGAGAAATATTTAGCAACATAATTAAGGTCGCATATTAGCTTACTTGTGAACAATAAGGTGTGCTTTTATTTTGAGATTTAAAAAATAGAGTCGAGAGTTATATCTTGCGAAATAATGACAATCCTTATAGTATTCACTATTCACTTTTGAGATTAACTATTTGTGATCCAAACTGTGAGATTTTTTATACATGGGCTATATTTGTGGAATGTGGGTGATCATCAATCATATGATGCAATGAACCTGAATCCACTATCCATAGAATATACTTTTCTCGTCTTACACTTGAGGCCTTCAGGAAATTATATATTTGTCTTAGAGAAACATGTATTACCGATAGAGTTGGTGCTTTTTTGTGCTTGCTGAATAATTTCAATAATTTTTATTTGCTCCTTTCTGATTGCACTCAGTTAGGTTGAGATCTTGATCTTGACAGTGGCAACTAGATTGCTACGGTGGGCTCTTTCATGGTGTGTGGGCAAGTAGAGAGAAAATATGAACTTACAAAGTCAAGGACATAAATATAGGAACTTTTAAAAATGCTTGGATTAGCATTTAAATGACTAATAGGTGAGTATAATGGGAAGAGTATGTCCAAGAGTGAGTTAACATGTTGAAATCTAGAAAAAAAATTGATTGAAATCAATGAGACCATGATAGCAGGAGTGTTTTACGTCACACCCTCAAAAAAAAGTTTGAACATGATTTTGCAATACAAATGTATCTGTGCATATTTGCATATAGAAACTCTCATGACAATCTTCAAGAATTGATTGCAACTCACAGGTAACCATCTTAAGTGGAAACATGTGCTTTCAAATACAAACTGATGCATAGGAAAAAATATTTGTTAGTTATGACTATCTTGAGTAGATATCGACTGAAAGTGAATTTAAGCGAGAGAGAATAAGCGTGGGAAATCTGAAGTAAGGTGTTAGGATGAGATATTTCGGTTAACATATAGGTAGATTCTAATTCATATTAAAATGTAGTTGAAGTGTGTGCATGCCTACGTGACAAATTTATGTTCTTTTGGAAAGTTCAAAAATATAACACTCCAAAGTGTTGTTTAAAAACTATTCGTACACGCTTTCTCAAGACTATTTGCTATCACTAAATTTGGTGAATATGCTCTTTAGCAGAAGATAAAGATTCTTTAGCAATAGAGAAACTTGGTACTTCATGGGTCTTCTACTTAAGCAGCTATCTTTCTCATTTTTCTATGTTTTCCATTCTCCACCCTACCTTCTTCTAAATTAATAGTTCAGTACAATTAGCAATTATATTTTGGTGCGATTAGTTTTTCTTGATGTATTTGGTTGATGAATAAGGTTAAGTGGTTGAAGTGGTGAATTATCTTATTAGTTTAGGAAATCATGGGACTTAAAAGGTAAATTTATAAAATTGATTGATTATGTTATATGAGTCCTTCCAACACGGTTGTTGATAGCCCAAGTTAATTGGGACAAAAATAAGAAAACTGTGATGAACATGTAAATAAATTAGAAATGCTAAATTAAATAGTGATTATTTAAGGAGAATTCTTATAGTGACTTCTATTGAAGATAAGATAATTAAAAATACATTTTGGGTGATTTGGACAGGTACAATGAAGATAGAAAATACATCAATTAGACATATAGACCAAATTAGCTTCAAATTTATGATGGACAAAAGATTAGTTCTATGATAAGTTGATAACATGATAGAAGGTACTCAAAATAATTTGTGAAGAGTAGGTTTAACATCTAATGTAATACTCAATATGAACAAATGATATATAGAAATTCATAAAATCATTACCAAATTGTAGGGGATAATGAGGCTTTGCATGTTTTCCTCTTCTGGCCATGCTTTACCTGTTTTGTCATTTGCTATATTTTAGTTGGTGTGCAAAATATAACCTTGCTGGTGTCACAGAGTCCCTCCACCACATTTGTCACCATTTGTGGACAATGAGGCTGAAGGATATGTTCCTGAATATGCCGAGACAATAAAACGTCTACAGGCTGCCGCCAGAAGACAAGTTTTGCCTTTTCCAGGCTTGGATCCTATGGATTTCTCTGATCCCGGAAGCCTTTTGGCTGAAGGAATTATTGATCGTGCGGAAGCTAATGAAGCTGCTGAGCAGCGACAGAAGTTGTTGAAGCTTGAGCAGCAGTACCATGATGAGCTGAAAATGGAGCTTCAGGGTGTCACTTTCTCTGCTGTGGCATCTAAAGGAAACTCACAAATCCCTCCTGCTGAAGATGTAGAGGTTGAGGAAGGTGCAAGCATGGCGCTGCTGGATCAGGTTGCCGAAGATGAACTAAATCTTTCCAAGGTTTCTATGTCTCGCAGACAGAGAGGCCTTATGGAAGCAATACAGGTGAAGCAGTTTTTCTGTCTTTTTTACTTTTGGCTTATGTTTTTATAGATTGATGTGATTCCTTCCTCCTGATAAATCTTTTTTTTTTTTTTTGGTTTCCACTTTCCACTTCCTTGCGTTATGTAAACATGAATGGCATTTGACTTCTTGCATTGTGTTTCCCTTTCTGTTCTCACCTTTTTACTTATTTCTACAAAAAATGCCTTTTTTTCTTTCTAAGGCTTCTTTTGAGACAACTGTTTTATTGCTTTCTTAAACTACTTTCTAGTATAAAAGTTACGCAACTCATCTTGGCCTGTTGGTTGAGAGCTTAGGCTTCCAACTAAGAGGTCTTGTATTCGAGTCTTTGTGTATGCGTTGCTTGTGTGAGTTTATCTTAAATGGCCTAAATGTCCATATATAAGTTTCTTGAATTAAAAAATTTTATACTAAAAAGTCATTTTATAAAGCAGTAAGAAAGCCATCCCAAATGAAGCTTAAATTATCACGTTGAAGATTATCATGTACTTTTGTGTTTTAAGTTTATAATCCCATAATATATTTCTTGTTGCAGATTGGCAAAGAAAGGAAAAGGAACAAGATTGAACTTCTCAAGAAAAGAAGGAAAAATTCAGAAGCAAACAGGAAAGGATGATGGTAAGAGGATCAAATACTGCAGGCTCTATTAGCCTTTTTGCTTTGGCTTCCATTGATTTTTTTTTTATGCCAGTGAGGAAAATGAATGTTCCTCTCCAGTAAGGTTGATGACCATAGTTGGACTGTTTTTCAACAAGAAGCACAAAGGCAGAATATTTTTGAATTTATAATGTCGTGCTTATCAATTGTTTATTGAACATCAGTCATTTAGGATTTATAATGATTTTGTTATGTAATTTTTCATAAATTTTGTATCTGATAATATTTTTCATCAAGTTTAATTTATGGAAAAAATAAATAATAAATCCTGTATTATACATGCAGCTAGGATTGTAAGTGAGTTAAATTGACTTGTGAGTTGGCTCAAGCTCAGCGCAATAAATGGCTTCTAAGCGAAGCTTGGGCCAGGTTTTACTCGACTCGATAGCTTGCAAGCCGGCTCGTTTAAAACAGACTTAAAATATATTAGTATTCTTAATTTTAAGCGCATTGTAAAAAATGTTTAAAAAATGTATCTCATTTTTTTTATATTAAGTGATTTTTTTATTTCTCCTCATTCATTTTTTCATTATATTATAATAATTATTTGAATTATAACTATTTTCTTTCATGATAAACGAGACCGATCGTGAGTTGACTTTAACTTGTAGAATACTGCTTGAGCTCAAACTCTATAAATTTACAAACAACATTACAATTAGATTTTTTTCTTTTTTGGATAATTTTTTGTCATTATTATTTTTTGTTGATTTTAATAAATTTTTTACTCAAAAAAACTATTTTAGAAAGTATTCTTCCTGTAAGAATTATCATGCGTGATTAAAAAAAAAATTATTTTGTTTTTGTAGTTTATTTATTAGGGTATTTGCATACCTATAACTTAAAATACTTTCATTTTTATTCAAATACTTGAAAGGAATTGAGGTGGTCCGGAAGTTATTATTGGTTTTTTTTAGTGTTGGATATGAAAATTAAGGGAGTTTTGAAATGATAGGTATGTATATACCTATTATTTATTTTTAAATAATCGTTTAAGATTTACATAATAAATGTTGGCCATAAAAAGAAAAGTATAATATTTAGTTAAGTGTTATGAGATGAGAATGTTCAGATGGATGAGTGGCTTTACTTTTAAAGATAAGATACGAAATGAGTATAAATGCGAAAATGTTGGAGTAGCTCCAGTGGAAGATAAAATTATAGAGTCGTCATAGATGGTTTGGTAACATAAAACAGAGGCCTTTCGATGACCTCGTTATGATAAGTAAATGTATTAGATTTGACTTATGTTAAGAAAGATAGAGATAGATATAAAAATACTTAGTTAGAAAATATTAGAAATTATGTTTTTTTATTAGATTTAAACGAGAATTTGATTCTTAATACGACACAATGAAAAAAAAATTATTCATGTAGCCGGCCCCATATAACGGGTTAAAGGCTTGTTGTTGTTTTTTTTAAAAAAAAAAAAAAACCAAAACATAAATTCATTACTCAATCAACAAAGGTTACAACAGCTACAAAAGGGAAACAAAGTAAAAGAAAACAACAGGAATTATAGGCGAAAAAAGAAAGCTCAGAAGACGGCCGAGGCTCCCAGCGACCCAGTCGCCACGCACGGACCGTCCAATAAAAGGTTGCCACAAGCAAGACGACCAGGCCGCGAGTCCCGACCACATCATTGCTATAGCCCATAAAACCACAAAGCCTCGGCGAACGATGAAAAGAACGAATAACATGAAAAATCAATGTCGGCGACGGCCTCTCCCCCAAAATTTCCCCCGTTTTTGCTCAATTTTAGTACTAACCACAGAAAAGTCGTTGTCCGGATCCGAATACACTTCATCATCAGTAGATTCCGAGTCGGAATCACCAGCCAACCAGTTTGTTTGGTTCCTAATTTCCCAACCAGAGCAATCACCTAAACAGTTAGCCTTAGCTTGCGAATTAATCAGATTAACCGGGACATCAACAATCCTATCCAAAGCCGGAACACCATTCTCACTGACGTTAGGCAGAAGAGGCACCGCCTCACCCATCTCCGGTTCCAAAACAATATCAGAGTTAACAACAGCACCCTCCGCTAAAGTATTAAATTTCTCTGAAGTAATAACTGCCAAGGCAGCAGTAGAAACATTAGGAACAAAAGGGGTAGCATTGGGAGAAAGAACACCCCCAACAACCTCAGGCAAAATTCCCCCAACATTAATTAAC